GGAGCACGGCCTTGGCTTTGCTTATGCTGTTGTTCATCACCAAGTTTGTGATCTCCACGCTCTCCTGGATGGCCTCTCTGCTGTGCTCCAGGGCCGTTTGCACTTTGCTGCTTATGGTGCCATATGCAGCATCCAGAGCTGTAGTGACTGTGGAAGTGACCATTGATTTAGTCTTCTCAATGCCATCCTGAACAGCCTCTTTGGTCAGATCCACCGCTTCGGTCACCTTGTTAGTCACGAGCTCCTTTGCACCCTGAGCAGCCCCTACAGCAGCAGTAATAGTAGAAGCAACTGCTGACTTGGTCAGGCCAACGCTGTCCTCCACGATGTGTTTAGTGAGGTCCACCGCTTCGGTCACCTTGTCAGTCACAAGGTCCTTTGCACCCTGAGCAGCCTCCACAGCATTGACTATAGTAGAAGCAACTGCCGATTTGGTCAGGCCAACGCTGTCCTCCACGATGTGTTTAGTGAGGCCCACTGCTTCCATCACCTTGTTAGACAGAAGACCTTTTGCATCCTGAGCGGCCTCCACAGCATTGACTATAGTAGAAGCAACTGCTGACTTGGTCAGGCCAATGCTGTCCTCCACGATGTGTTTGCTGAGGTCCACCGCTTCGGTCACCTTGTTAGTCACGAGGTCCTTTGCGCCCTGAGCAGCCTCCACGGCACTGGTGACAGTGGAGGTGACCATTGACCTGGTCAGCTTAACGCCGTCCCCAACAACGCTCTTGGTGAGGTCCACGGCTTCCGTCACTCTATCAGCCATGGCTTCTTTGGCCCCACAGGCAGCATCCATAGCAGAGACCACTTTGGAAGAAACCAGCTGCTTGGTGTCCGAGATGACCTACAGCAAGGTGAGGCAAAGACAGATCATACGTTTCTTTCCAGCATAGGTTTCCCTCCCTGAAGTAGCTTTCCACGTGGCTACGCTGTTCCTGCAGCCTTGCAGAGATCTGGGGAAATCAGTACACCCGTAGCCACATGGAAATCTTTGTTTCCACATGGAAATCTTTATTTCCACATGTTGAAGGCAGATCCTTGGCATTCCTCAGCTAGCAACGACTTCCCTGGCTCCCACTGCTTATCCCAGAGCTGATCTAACCAGGCAGTGCTGCCAAAATTGTTTCCCCCATATACTCCTGTACCCACAGGAGCTCCATCGAGAACAACCTTTGGTTTACCTTGTCTGCTGGCTGTTGAAGGAAAGGCAAGGTCTCCTCCAGTTGATCCAGTCCCTTACAGGCATATTCATTTACGAGTGCAACTAGGCAGAAGGACAGGTACGAGTTTAGTCCCTCTGCTCCAGTTTGGAGGGTTTCATTGACCCTACAATGGGCAACCCGGGATGAGCTCGGGAAAGGAAGTTCCACCCCGCAAAGCGCTGCTGGGACAGGGGAGCCAGGACCAAGCGGCTCTTCATTTTGCCTTCCCAGTCTTGCAGCTACTGGAGCTCACTGCTCCAGTGACAGAGCAGGGAACTTCTGCCTCTCAGCTCAAAGAAACCACAGACAAGAGGTCAAACTTCACTCCAGCCAACGGCCATCCCTTATCCCTCAAATTCGGGGGGTGGGAGCAGCCGAGAGGAGGGGTCGGCAGCGCTGCAAGCAGCTCGGGCAACCAGCCCTCCTATGGGGACGGGGCTCCGCGGCCTCTTGTCTTACTGTGCGGCTCCAGCTGGTTGAGGTTGGGCTGCGCCCCGCCGACCACGCTGCCCACGGCCACGGCGGCCACCGTCTCGGCCACGCTGCAGGCGCTGCCCAGGCACGGGTGCGTCTCCTTGCCGTGGTTGTAGGCAGAGGAGACCAGGCTGAAGGCAGAGCTCAGCAGGGGCAAGCTGGTCACCCTGTCAACGGCGCTCTGAAAGACACGTAAGTGACGTTAGACACCCGCCCTCACGCTGGGGAGCGTCTAACCCGTACGTATATCCGAAATGTGTATCCCAAAAGGTCCTGGGTGCTGTCAGGTCCATCTCCTCGTCCTTCCTGAGCTCACAGTTGAGGCACTTCTCTGAAAACCATTAGCAATCAGTGGCAAGCCAGAATTAGAAGCTGGAGCTCTGTCACAGCTGAGTCACAGAGGCCTTCAGCCCCATCCAGTCCAGATTTGGAAATAGGACCTATAGCAGCTAATGTATCAGAATTATTTGCGTTATTATTGGAGTTCTGTTTGTTGAGCAAGAAGAGTTAGGCTCTGCATTAAGGGTTAGATTAAGTCACGTCCTCATACGGTTAATGTTTCCCCTGCCCCAGCCTGGATGTGGGATGATGACAGAAGTTAGTTCAGCACCTGCTCCCTCGGCACCTACCGCTTGCTGCTCTTCTTTAGCCTTCAGCACATCGGGTTTTGTGGCCTTCTTTTCAGACGCCATAGTCAAGTCAGCTGCAACTGAAAGGGAAAAAAGGGGTAACAGCAAGAGCACAACTTCAGGTTCCACCAGTGAATGGAAATTGAGCCACGGCGGTGAAAAGCAGAGCATGATGATCCTGGGATCCGTCATGGCCTAGGAGCTTCCAGGAAAGGCTGATCCTCCTCGCAAAGGAGGGTGAAGGTATTTGAGAGGCTTCGTTATTTACAGAGCACAAGTGTTTGACCAGGGACCATACTCAGTCCCCAGACTGTAATGAGAAATGAAGCAGGATGGTTACTTGGTGCTGAGAGCGTTTGGCTGATCTCAAAGTCGCAGGCCTGAAGCGGGTGAAAGCTGCTGTGTTCCCATCTCCGTGGTGCGTTTGCTCCACTAGAAGGACTCCTGCTCCAGCCGCTCACGACGCCGGCGCCGCTGCCGTGAATCACGGGGTGTTTGTGTCACCCCGAGCACAACAGAGCGCCACCATCTTCCTGACAAGTCCTGCTAACAGCGGCTGTTGCAAGACAGGAAATGCAACTGCCCTAAGATGAGTGGAGAAGAAGTTTTTTTTCCCCCGTTTTAATTTTAGAAACCTGGTAAGTTCAAACAATGTTTTTCGGTGACAATGCAGTCTAAAAATAGGAACAGTGTTTACTTTCTGAAAACAAAATACTCACTGAAATTGCTTAATACTTCTATAGGGAGAAAAGCCCTCAGATTTTCCCAATTTTGACTGATGTGAAGGTGGGTTTTCCTCACAGATTAATCTGTTTTCCCCTTGTCTACAAAAACACTGACAAGACTTTTGCTCCCCTTCAGAGACCAAACAGAGGTGCTGGAGCTGCCGTGGACAGGTTTTATATTCCTAAAACCTGCTGGTAATGGTACCCAGTTCCCTTTGAAGGCTTCTTCTGGAGCATCTTCTGCAAAGGACGTTGAGATCAAAGTCTCTCTAAAGTGGAGACTTCTCTGCACCCCTGCTCAGAGGAGAAACTTTTTCAGCTTCCCTCCTGGTGCCAACTCCAGCAACACTGAAAGTCTCAAAGCTCTGGAAAAGAGAGCAGGAAGTTTGGGGTGTTTATAGAAAAAGCGGATTTTTTGATGTATAGAAAAGTGCGGTTTGCTGTTGTGTCACTCTGCCTCGAGGCTGGTGTCCCCATGCTACCCACGCGCTGCGAGGGCTAGGCAGGAAAATGCTCCCAGCCTCCCCGAAACTAAACCTTGCAAATATTCTCATTATACACAGGGACTGAGGTTTAAAGGAATGATGCAATATCATGAATATGCATTGACTTCCCCAGCGTAGGCCTGGCTTGGAATCTGGACACGCCAGCATCATGCGAGAAATCCAAGGCTGCTGCTGAGCCTCGCTCAGGCGCAGCCGGGTCCCGGGCGCTCGTTCCTCGGCGCAACGTCCGCCTTCCCCTCCCTTCCCGCTTAATTCCTGTTCTTAGAACCGCCAGGGCATTTTTCAAGCGAAATCCCCCAAACCAAAACTCCTCCCGGGAAGGATTCCCAGGCTGGGCCCGGCTCCGGTTCACCGGGAGCTCCTCATCCCTGCGAGCGCGGGAATCACGGCCAGGCCGCGTGTGCAGCCGGCAGAGGCTTCCCGGGGAATTACAGCAACATCTGATGCTCCGAGGGAGCCGTGCGACTCCCAGGTTCCCGTTTGAGCCCCGGTTTGGGAGCAGCGCAGGCCGGCCCGGCCGCAGCCGCAGGGCAGAGCGCGGCTCTTGCGACAGCGCCGCAAACAAGCCCTGCCCGCGGTTACCGCACGCGGGGGCGCAAGGACCGGGCCGCAAACAAGGGGCAGAGCAAAGCGCAGGGCGTCCCCCTGGCCTCGGGGCCAACGCGCGGGGCCAAGCGGCGCGGCAGGACGGGAAAGGAGGGACAGGGCTCCCTTTGGCACACACAGCGTTCGGGACGGGGGCTCCCAACAGCTCCGAGCTTGAAGCTGTTGCGTTACAGGCGCCCGTGTGCCAGGGCCGCCCCTCGCGGCGCAGTCGTGTTGGGACACGGCTCCCGCGGCTCCGTGTGGGTGGAATGGGGCTGTTTGGCAACGCCGGGATTTGTGCTATGGGAATTCTCCGAGCACACAGCACGACCGTGTCTTCTCTTTCTATTCTCTCCCCTGCAGAAGAGCAGAGCGGATCTCATTTTGCCCAGGAATCACAGGAGGATGAAGCACTCGGCAGCTCCAAGCCTGCGGTTCGATGCTCCTTGGCACAGTTTCGAGTCCAGGTAGTTTCAAGGGGGAATCCTGAACTCTTGCCTGTCATCAGGCAGCCACTGGCCTGGGGAACCCTCACTCTGAGAAAAACTATCCCTGTTTCTGCTGCGGTTGCACAAAGGGAACCGGTCCTTACTCAGCACATCAACTTTGTTTTGCAGACAAGTTTCATACTGTTGCTACATCCAAAATATGTCACTGCTGGAGAAAATCTCCTTGAAAACATGAAGTTTCGTCTTTCTAGAAAAACAGGGCACGTTTCTAGGGTGGCACGATTGCTCAACCCGGGCGCTGCCCTATGTGGCACAAGTCTGTGTGCTCAGAGAGGCCGCGAGGGCAGTGACACTGATGCACTGTGCTGGTCCAGAGCCCCTGGACGGTGCCAGCCGGGCAGCAGAGCCAGCGCTTTGCTACTGCCACAAGCAGCAGCCCTGGTTTCAGTCAGGGCAGTGCCCTGTGCACACAAAAGTGAAGAACTGGCTTTTATTTGCCTGGGAAAACAGGCTCTGCCCCTGCAGGGCATCAGGAAACCAGCCTGCTGGTGGCTTCTCCTGCGGATTTGGGATCTTGCTGCTCAGCAGCTTTGCTCCCTCACCAGGTGTTTTACCTGGCACAGATTGATGCACAGCCAGCAAGCCTGGGTCAGCGCCTTCACTGGCGGTTCTTTAGTGACTCCTAAGGAAAACTGGGTGAAGCCTCATGGATCAGATACAAACAGTGAGGACTAGGCAGGGCAAAGGTGTTGAACTGCAGTGAGAAAACCTCTTTTCACCCTCTTCCAGATTTGCCATCAGTATCTCAGTTGACATAAATGCAGTTAGAGCAGGAGCACAGAGGGTGTCCGGCTGTGATGGGGTAGCTCTGACCACAACTGAGAGCTGTTTGCAAACGCTCACAGGGTGGAGTTAGTTTTAGGAGGGTCAGATGATTTTGGCGGGGTTTTGACCTAGGGCTTCAGTTTCAGAAGGGCTGCAGACGTGCGTATCCACAGGCCCAGCACATTTCTGGAAATGCCACCAGCACTAGGGAGCCACAAAGGCTAAAGCCATTTCACAGATGGATCGGGGTTTTCCCCACACTCACTTCCAAGAGAAACCAAACATCGAAATGAGGTTACTAAACACTCCTTGGCATAGGAAGGGGGTAGATGCTGATTTTCCATGAAGACGGGAGGACTAGAGACTAGCTGTACCTTGCAGAGCAAGGAACTTGGTGTTGGCTCTTTGTAAGAGGTGTTTTATACAGGAGTTCGAGCAGAAGTGGCTTCAGTAATCGACCTCCTTCTCCATAGCCATATGGAATTTCAGGTAGTCACAACCTGATTTAAGGATTGTGTTAGCCTTGATAATTCCTGAATTTGCCAAGTCCTGCTGCAGAGAGCAGGGCGCTCCTGAGGGAAGAAGAGGTCACCTGCCCCTGCCACTTAAACCACCCCCTTAGCTGCCACCATTATCGTGCCTGCACCCAGCGATCACCCCCGGCGTAGCCAGAGGCAGGGATGGCAGCAGTGTCAACAGCAGAGGAATGTCCCCTGATCCCTCTGCCTTGCAGGGCAGTGACTACCCGGCATCACGCGGGACACTGGTGTCCGGTGCAAACATCCCGTGCTGCGTAGGCGGGGAGAGCCGGTGCCTGTGGATCACCCCTTGGATCTCCAAGGTGAGTGAGGAGAGACCAGCAGGGCTTGGCACATGGCTCCCCAGGGACCCGTCCCCCTGCCAAAGGGCTCTCGGAGCAGCACAGAGCCCTCCAGCTCTTTGCAGGGGGCACCAGGTACAGCAGGAAGATGCATCTTGTCAAGCCCAACACAACCAAACCCACCGAGTCCCCAGAGGGGGATGCAGCCCGTCACCCCGGGGGGCTCCACACTCCCATAGGGAGCTGGGGACGCAGGACAGGGACACAGCCCCTCCTTGGGGTCCCCTCGGCTGCTGCTCTCCCTCTCCACCCCGCACCCCATGGAGGCGGCA